TTAGAGATCTCATAAATTTTATTAAATATGTCACATAAGCGTAAGACCTACATGAGACCCACATTATGTGAGTCTCACACCCATATAAGACATTTAGTAAAATTTTGATTCAATTTTTAAAGTCTCTAACATTACTCAGTTAAAAGCTGAATTTTGCAACTTATCTAAAAAAGTTAGATTGGTCTTTTTAACATAAAAATCATTTGGGAAGATCAAAAAAACTATCTATGAAATTATAATTATACCTTTCATATTATTTAGGGTTATACATGAACGAAAAATTTCCTAGATTTGGTGGAGATTTTGGTCATTTTATTATGATTTAACATCATAAATATATGTTAACTAAAAAAGTCAAAAGTAATTTTTTACCAATTTCTCAAATCACTTACTAAAAAAACCAAAAAACTTAATTAAAAGATAAAAACCAATTTTTAACCATCTTCCCAAAATACCCCTATATCAATTCATAATACTCCTATTACAAATTCAAATTTACCTATAAATTATTTAAAATTATTATTTTATAATTTAAATTTATTTTACACATAACTTTTATACTATATAAATTAAATTTCTATCCTACAAATATCCACCCAAAAAATTATAGGTGCATATGTCTGAATTTTAGACTTTTCCTTGATGTATATCATTTCTCATCACTTATCAAACTATTTTTTAAATCTGAACAAAAAAATTCTTTAAAAACAGAGGAGTGGAAGAATAAGAAAAAGTGATAAATTCTTTCCAAAACTTTTTATGGTTTCCTATTCTCTCTCTACAACCAAACCAAACAAGAGTTACATTCAAAAAATTTCCCAACCTTTTCTCTTTCTTTCTTACCAAACATGGCAGAAAATATTGGCTGACATCACATGGTCATATTTGCACAGATTGGGTTGGCTGTTGGCCCCAACACACCAGCTACTACTACTGTGCAGTTAAACATATCTATTTTAAAATTTATTTTGATAATTTAAATTATTCATATTTTAAAATATATCAAATAAATATATTTATAAAAAATTAAATTAATATTATGACAATATCATATACCAATAATATGACTCACAATTATTGATGAAAAAAGACAAATATATTATGTAAATTAAAATCTTGGAGGTGATAAGTATAGTTATATGAAATTATATTTTTTTTCAACTCTCAAGAAAGATAAGGGTAAAAAAAAAATAAGTGCAATTTACCAATAATAACAATAATATCAGACATTTATATAAGTCATAATTTATGAACTTATATTTCATTAATCTTACTTAAGATTTTTTTAATTTTTAAGTCCCATTAAATTTTTAATAGTTAAAATTGCCCTTCAAATTATGATTTTTCATCATTTATGATTATCTATATAAAGAAAGATGATGATTTAACATTTATTTTAATTTTCAAAACTTTAAAACATCAACTTTCAGATTGAAAAAACTGAAGAAAAAAAAAAAACAAATTATGCATGAAAAACCTAAATTATTTTTTTGTACAAAATTAAAAATTTTGTATCTATAAAGGAGCATGATAATAAAACATTAATGTGCAAAACTGCGAAAAATCATAAAAACATTTTAAAATAAAAAAACTAATAATTTTATCAGTTTTAAAACCGAAAAAAATTGATAATATTCTTAATTTTATTAGATAGTTAAATAAAACCAATAAGTAGAATGACAAAAATATTTGATCTCATGCTCTATTTTTTTTGTCAGTTAATGAAACAATTATCTGAAATATTACTCTATACAAAATTGACAATATTCTTAGTTTTACAAATTGAGAAAAACTGATAATATTCTCAGTTTTACTAAATAAGACTTATTGGTTCAAAAAATCTTATATAGGATCTAAGTTACCATAATATTTATAAATAGGACATTTAAATAATTAACTCTAATAAAATATCAGCAAGTGTACATTGGTTAGAATCAAGGGAGTTGTTATTATGTGCACTCTTAAAAATTATATATGACATATACTATCATAACACAAATATTATATATGAATCATAAAATCACTATAAAAATTTTATAACATAAATCATAGAATGACATAACATTTTGTTCATCACAGAAAGTATAATTTTCACTTCAGATTACACACTAGATTTATCATTCATCACTTTTATCATAAATTAGTACAAAACACCAAAATTATTCATAAATTTTACCACATTTTTTTACAATTATAAAAGTACATCATAGATTTTTCCTTAAGTTAAAATATGTATATAAAATTTATAAAAAAAATGTATAAAACATATATTAGAGTTTTAACTATTCAAAGCCTTAATTAACACCCATTAGATACTGGCTTAAAAAATTAAAAAAAAAATAAAAATAAAAATCAAATGCTGTTCTAGCATAGGCAGTAGATAGTGTAGTATTACTAGTCACGCATATTTTTCCCTTATGGTCGTACAATCAATAATCAAGCTCACACAAAATCAAATGTTGTTCACTGTTCAATTGTTTTTATCACCCGATCCAAAAAGGCAAAAGTTACAAAAAGTAAATAAGGTACATCTTCTATTAACTAAAAGAATTTCAAGAGATAATAAAAAACAATGATAAATTTTATAAATATTAATAATTAAAATTATAAATTATTCCGTTAATACATAATTATTTTTGAAAAATTTCACTAGGGTGTAATTACTCCTTAATTAAACCAAACCCGCTAACAATGTTATCTAATGTATGTGGACTTTTATCATAAATCGTTTGTCAATTACATATTTTTGAAGTTTGTCACGTCTCTCTCTATTTTTTTGCATATTTTTTTATAAAAATTTAAAAAGTTACTAAAATAGTTTATTCCCAAACAAGACTTTAATTGGAGGAAAACCCTTTCCCTATCTAGGTCTTATGCAAGTTAAGTTAGTAACTGTTCATATTTTTCTATAAGTTGAAAAAGAGAGTACCTAGGTTTTGACACAATAACTTCCCACATTGAAATGCAACCAACACCACCATTACTACACATTCAGGCCTCCAAGATTACTCTTCCAAGAGTTTTCATGATTAATTGGCATTAATGTGGTATTGTAAGGATGAGTATTTCTTATCCACCTCAACCCTTACAGTGGCGGGAGTCTCGTGCACTAGACTGTCTTTTTTTTCTTTTTTGCCTACCCAATTGTGGAATTATGCACCCTTCTCTCCCCCACAAATTCACCAATAACACATCATCCTTTACATATATTGTGAATTTGAATCCCTCTCAGTTGAGGAATAATAGATTGTTCATAAATAAGTGAGTTATAGAGCTTAATAAGATGGCCCACAGGGTGACAGTGACCAGACTCTCAAGTGTAAGTGTGTACTGAGCAATGTGTTTATAAATGCCTTCAATTCAAGGGGAACATGGAAGACCACAGATTTTCAAGTGTATGCTGAAGAAGGTGCTGATAAATGGCTTACACCAAAATGTTTTCATCATTTCTTTTATTTTTATTTTTATTTTTTATTTTTTATTTTTTATTTTTTATTTTTGGTACAAAAGATTTTTCCATCTCTTTTTATATGTAAAATATATAATTATAATATCACTAAAAGTATGTATATATAGGAATTAAACCTCTCACCAAGCATCACACAATAAGCAAAGCAGGGAATGTTAGTTCATTCCACCGACTGTGAAATAGATAATTTTCAATTAGTTTGATTCAGCTTCTGGGCAGTTAGAAGTATTATAGACTTGTGTATACTTTCATGGCTTCAAACTTTTCACAAATGCTACTTAAAAGTCCATCAATTCTTATTATTATTTTTTCTTAGGAAAATAAAAACCTATCATCATATAATTAATCATACTACTCAAACAAAAATGAACTACGCTCCTGAAACTCACATTGGGCAGATTATACCATACGATTGTGATTACTAATCCATGAAACTCACATTCCATTGTTTGATTGCAATTTTTGCTGTTCGGATTAAATTTTGATGGACATTCTATCTTAAAAAATTGACAAATTTTTTAATTCTACGATTAACAATGCAAAACAAACATATAATTGAAGATTATATATTTCTATATCTATTATTATTACATGGCAAAAACCATAACCATTAGATGTCCAAAACAAATAGTACTACATGTTTCTCAATTCATAAAAACAGTTAAAGTCAATACATTTTCACAAATACATTTTGAATTTGGGGGTGAACAGGGTAGAATGACTCATATGCCAAGGCAAAGCAAGGCATCTTCTAATATGAAGTTTTTTTCTGGTTAATGAGCATTTAATGCATTGTTAATAATAAATCAAAAAGGGCTCATTATTCTAACATAAATATGGCAAACAATGTTGTCATCTTACTTATATATTAAAGCTATGTTTGGTTAAAATTGGTTACCTAAGTTAATAAAGACAAAATTTCACGTCCGAACCATAATCATAACATTTTTTCTCCTATAAAAATCAAAAAAGAAAAACGAAATAAGTTAAAATATAGTCAAAAAAAAAAAAAACAAACAAACAAACAAACAAAGAGCTATTTTAGCTCTTCCCAAACAAAGACTAAAACAAAATGTTTCATTTTAATTCAAGCTCCGTAAAATCTAATTTGAAGTTGTTTATTTAATCGAGCTTCACAATAGCAAGTAAAAATCAAAAAAGAAAAACGAAATAAGTTAAAATATAGTCAAAAAAAAAAAAAAAAAAAACAAAAAAACAAACAAAGAGCTATTTTAGCTCTTCCCAAACAAAGACTAAAACAAAATGTTTCATTTTAATTCAAGCTCCGTAAAATCTAATTTGAAGTTGATTATTTAATTGAGCTTCACAATAGCAAGAACTCCCAACTATAAAACCAAACAAACATGAATTTCATCAAAATAGGCTCAAATCATACCCACATTCAAGAACAATTTCTACAATCATCTATCAGATCTCAAATGTAAGGAAGACCCACCAAAGATTAAGAGCTATAGAGAGGAAATGGGAAGTGAGAAGACATCTAGAGAGAGAGAGAGAGAGAGAGACATACCGTCTTGTAATTGTCCAGCAGCTAAATGAAGAAGAAGTAGCCCAGAGAGTGAGACCCATTTGGTTCTTGTTGAGCTCCAAACAATCCTCATAGCCATATGTATGTGTGTTCGCACTCTCTTTTCACCTTTCTCTCACTTCTTTCTCTCTCTAAAAACAGAGTACTGCACACACTCACTTGATGAGTGCTCAAGGTAAGAAGAACTATACTGTGAGAGAGGGAGTGAGACGAGCAGTGTCCTTTTATCTGAGATTCCAGGTCCAGCCACTTGGTCTCTTTACTCTCTCTCTCTCTCTTTCTCTCTCTCTCAACTTAAGTCCTAATAATCACTTTGTTTAAATCAATTTATCACAGATTACTTTAATTTTTATTTTACGATTTCTTTCATTATTGCGACCCATCAAAAAAAAGAAAAAGTTCCTTAAAGTGCTCCCACCACACTTCGTGTATGAATATAGGAAAATTGTTGGATAATAAAGGAATATCATGTTATTATGTGATTTTTTTTATTGTTTTTTTTGATACAACGGAAATAAATTATGTGATATTTTGATTACTTAAAAATGGTAACATAAATTAATGAATTGTCTGCAAATTAGCTAACAATAATATATAGAGCACTCGGCTTGTAAATTTAAATTTAAATTTAAATTTTATTTGGTCAAAGGTCAATATTCTAAAATTTTTTGTCCATAAAGATATGCTTAGATAAAATAATCAAAAAACCCACATATCAAGGTTGTGTACCGGATCTACCAACCCGTCAAATTCGTCTGACCCGACCCTATATGGGTGGATGCGTGGCACGTGGCAGGCGAATGCGGGTCCGAATTTTGTCTTTTCGAGGGTTTGGATCAGGTTGGAGTTGATCCACCATTTTATCCACTGGACCCAACGCGTTCGCTACTCTTATTTTTTTTTAATACATTTTTTACGCCCATTAGAGACAGACAGGGACACCACACACACACACGTTCTCTCTCTTTCTCTCTCTTAAAAAACCTACCCATCTACCGATAGCGACGGCAATGGCGATCTTCTCCATCATCCGACCAACAGCCGCGAGCGATAATCTGCACTGAAAGGCGATCAACGATCGAGGGGAGATATTCTCTTCTCTTCTTCTTTCCTCTTCTTCTCTTCTTCCTTTCTCTTTTTCTCCTCTGCTTTCTTCTTCTTCTCTTCTTCTCCTCAATCTGTTCTGTTTTGTTCCAGTTCGAAAATGAAAGGCGATCGGCGATCTAATCTGTTCTCTTTTTTTTTTTTTTCAGTTCGAAGATGAAAACCTCTATTTTCTCTTATTCTTTCCTCCTCTTCTCTTCTTCTCCTCAATCTGTAATCTTTTTTTCTTTTCTTTTTTCCAGTTCGAAAGCCTCTCTTTTAGAGTCTAATCTTTTCTTTTCTTTTTTGTTCCAGTTCTAAACCAAAGAAGTGGTGAGATTCACAGTGTAAGGTTTCTACACACACAGAGAAAAGAAGCTTACAGAGAGAAAACCACAGAGGTTTGGTTTCTTTTTGTTGTTATTTGCAATGGATTTTGTAAGGAGCTTGATAGAAAAAAAAAATATTAGATTAATTTGCATCCAAAAGTGAAAAAAAGTAAATATGGACTTGTTGGACTTGTTATTACACTGTCTATTGGACTTGTTATTACACTGTATATTGGACTTGTTGGACTTCTTATTCAATTTGCAATGGATGGCTATCCAGTGTAGACTCAACACTAGAGATAGGTTGTGTCTGTTTGGGTTATCCCAGAATGTTAATTGTGTTCTTTGTCATAACCATTATGAGTATCATAATCATCTATTTTTCCATTATCCTTTCACTGATAAAGTTTGGAGTAAGTTAAAGAATATCATTAATGTATCCTGGCCTTGTCTTCAGTGGAATGAGTTGGTGGAACATATTCAAAATCTATTAAGGGTAAATCTATTGGTGCTATTATTTCTAAACTTGTGTTTACTTGCATTGTCTACCAGCTATGGCTTGCTAGAAATAATAGGACTTTTAATAATGATATGTACCTTGAAGAAGTGGTTATATGTTGAAAATTTGTGCTAAAATCCTATCCTCATCCTCTCTATCTTTACCCTTACAATCAGCATGTATATTTATATATATAAATATCCTATCAGTGGACAGTGTTAAAAATTTGTGTTCAAAATTAGTGAAAATGAATTGACAGTGTTGAGGATAGGATATTTACTACTTGTATCATATACTTCATTGCCCAAGTTGTTTGTTTTGTTGTAATACTATTGTTTTAGATGCACAATGTTTGTTGTAAATTGTAATATATTTGACGGTGCATGCATGCACAATGTTGAGGAAGGAAGTGAACATGTGTTTTTTTTTTTTTTTTTTTTTGGGAATTTCCGATTGGATAGTCTAGGAAGTGCACAGTTAAATTATGTTGAAAATTTATAAAATTTTAAATCGCCAACCCGATTCACATCCATCTGTCAATCCACTCAATCTGCATCTACTGAATTTGCGAACGGATACGGATTGATTTTCTCCAATCCGGCAGACAGATAGCGGATTGAAGGTTCCATGGCCACAACTGACCCACGCCCACCCCTACCACGTATATATATGTTATCATGTTTTTTCTCCAAACCCAACTCTCTCTCTCTCTCCATCTTCTGTGTCCTTCATCTCTCTGAAAACCCTAACCCTAGCATTCACCTCCTTTAACACCGTTCTTCATTCTCTACCATAAAATCTAAAGTAGAACATGAGGAGATTGTTGTGGCTTTATCATGCCATCGTGATCGGAACTCTACACTACCACTTGTGGTAGTATCGGGGTAGAGGAAGACGCCGAGGCAGTGTTTGATCTGTGTTGATGGCTACGTTTATGAGCTCGTCAGGATTCCACACCCTTACTGTTTTATCAAACGAGACAGTTGTCGCTCAATGTTGACGTCAGCGATATGTTCCATTGTAGAGTTCCACTTCATCCGACAAGAAATCCACTGCTGTTGTTTGTTTCTCTCTCTCTCTAAAGCAGTCTCTCTTTCTCTCTCTAAATACAATCTTAGACTCTCTAAAATCAACGCCCAAGGTATAGAAGAGAGACTAGAAAAAAGAAGAGAGAAGAGGAAGAAGGAAGAGAGAAAGAGGCACATTGACATAGATACTGGAGATGAGAGAGATAGAAGGGACAACGTGGTAGAGATTGGAGTTGGAGGACTGATAGAAGGGGTCAATGCCGAAGCACGCCTTCGATTCCGTTTCCGGTTTTATGGCGGTGAGATCTAAGTTTGGTTCCATTTACGATAGCAATATTTGAGTTCGCGACGAGATCTAAGTTTTATTTGGATCATCCGATTAAGCAACTCTTCATCAACATCATGGAGCCTCCGGTGGCGGCGAAAGAGAAAGCAAATGAAAGAGATGACGGAGGTGGTGACTTCATTCTCAATGCCTATGGTCTTCGTGTTACTTCTATTAAGATTGGTCTGTTCATCAAGATTAGAGAGAGAACTAGAGATGTATATATATAATTTCTTTTAATCTCTGTCATTTCTGTCTCTATTACAGAGTCACAAATAAGTATCTGTGTGTGTGTATGTGAGAGAGAGATACCAACAGATAGAGAGAGAAAGAGAGAGATAGACAAATAGAGAGAGAAAAGTGGGTTTTGAAATCAATTTGTATAAATAAAAATTTGTAACATATCAGACCTTTCAACAGATAAAAAAAATTGAAGATTGTGACTGCTTTGTTGAACAGATAAAAAAATAGATTAAAAAAATTCAACAGATAAGAAAAAATATGTCAAAAAAATTTGAATAGATAGATATAAATTTAAACAGATAGATATAAATTTGAATAGATAGTCAAAAAAATTAACATATAAAAAAAATTAAACAAATGAATTAAGGGGTAAAATTAGAAACAAAATATCCTCCAAAACCAACAAAAGGATTTTTCACCAAATTATTTCATAAAAAGTGGATCTTTCACCAACAAAAAAATATACATTGGATATAATGTCTGATACCTTCCTTAAATTGGACTTTTCAACAATTTTCTCTATATAGCTCAAAGGTTTGACTTCTCTCAATTTGTCGTTACAACTTAAGTGATTATTTGGGTCTAGAAGACCCATTTTGGAACCAATTGCGGTGATCCAAACCGTTTACCTTTTTGGACTCGTTGAGTATGATATTCATACAAAAAATTAAGATGATTAAATATTGGTAGTTATATATTTGAATCATATTTGTTTAAAAAAAAAATAGACGATAAATATAATTTCAAAAATAATCATTCATTTTTATAATATAAATTTGATTCAAACATATAGTAACCGGTGTACGATCATCATAATTTTTTGCATGAATATTCTACTCAATAAATCTTAAAAAGTGAATAACTTGAATTATCAAAATGACACATGTGATGAGTTCCAGAACATTCTATCCAACAAAATTAAGAAATTTTATAAACAACCATATAATTACAATTATATATTAACATATACATTACAAAACAAACTTAAATAAAAAGAAATGGTTTATCTAATTAATTCACATGTATAAATAATTTTATAATAATTTCATAAATTATTAATTCTCTCACTACTAATCCTATAAATAATATCTGATAAAATTCTTAAATCACTCTCAATAATTATTCATGTACTATAAATCTCATCTTGAGAAATGGTAATCCGATTAATCACAAGAGTTTTCTTATAAACTAATTGGTCCCATTAATTTTGGAAAAATAGATTTAATATATTATTTGAAAATTAAATTTACAGTTACACACTTATTTCTATTATGTTTCCTTTTTTTTTTTTTTCCTTTTGTTCTAGAAAAATAAGATAAATAATCTAGGAGAATCAAATTTGAGATGCATTTTTATATGGGAATCTTTTTATTTGCAATAACTTGAAATGTATTTTTCAAATATTTCAAAAGGAGTATAAAAATGACTTGAAATATTAGATTATTTAAACATTCTAAAAAGATGTAAGATTCTTCAAATATTTCAAAAATAGTACAACAACTCCTTAGTAAGTTTTAAGTAAATGTATAATTTCAATATGTAACACTCCAATGTAACGCTCAAACGTAACATTGTAATATAGCAATCTAAAAAAAATCTAAAAAAAACAAACTCCATAGTGTAACCCTCTAATATAACATACAAAAAAAAATTCTTAGTGTATTTTTTTCTAAACGTAATACTCTAATGTAACATTAAAAAAAAATGTAGGATTTTTCAAACCATTCCAAAAGAAGTAAAAAAAAAT